CACCTCATCTCAGACCTCTGGCCTCCAGGACTGCGGAAGAATCCGTTTCCATTGTGTTAAGCCACCCAGTGTGTGGTAACTTGTGAAAGCAGTCACAGGCCACTAACGCACGTACGTTAACACCCCGGCATGCTGTAAGCGGTTACTCATCACAGTACTGCAAGAGTGTTGCTCCCGACAGGAAATTAGGCATCTTTAAGGGTGAACTACAAGAATGTGTTTGAGGAGGAAGCAGACAAGGATGCTGGAAACCTTGACCTTGGGTTTGGAATTTAAACAGAGAGCATTGTAATTGTCTCAACAATGGGACTATCAGAATATGGTCTGGTGGAAGTGTGGATCTTTAATAGTCCAGATTGGTTTCTAGCTGGCCAGGCGCCAATAAATTTAACCTTTGTCCTTTAATCTGGTTTCTTTGAGCGGGATAGACTCTCCATCCCACAGGGACTCATGATCTTATTTGGATTTTTGGACACGTTATTTCCCTCCTTACACAACTTTGAATTCCCCAAGTCCCTGCTGAGTGTTAACCTGGTCTTTTTTCACCTCAAGGAAAACATTATCTGCACCAGTGAGAGGGGCTTTCACGAGGGCAGAGTTCCTGAGGAGATGGATTTGGGGATAATCCGCTGCCAAACTTTATGTTCCTGAAGCCTCCACCAGGAATATTGCCCAGATGTCTCCTTTCCTCTCAGAGGAGATGGAGGGGATGAGGTCAGACACTGGAAAATAGGACTGCAAAATCCTGAGAAGGAGAAGTGTGGGTGGGCCACCTGCTGGCGAGGCAGAGACAGGCTACGAGACCCCTGACAAGCCACCGTACATTGCTCTCCATCACCTTTAACCGGGAAACACTGGTTAACCGAGAGGCCAAGAGAGGGTGGCATTTTCAATTTGGCTACTGCTCTTGGGTCATTCTGATCCTCAAAGATGCCCCTACCCTGGGATGCCATGATATCCAACTTGTTTCTTGGCAGATTTCTTAGGTCTGACCTGCTAGAAATCAGTCTTTCCATCTCCTCACCCTGTGCTGTGCGTGCAACACAGTAGTCACGAGTCACACGTGGCTATTTACATGTGAACTAACTCAAACTAAGTCAAATGTAAAGTTCGGTTCTTTAGTCATACTGACCCCATTTCAAGTGCCAGCTAGCCACATTGGACAGGGCAGGTCGAACACTTGTGTCATCACAGAAAGTTCTATTGGACGGTGATGTTCCAGTTATCCAAGGTAGAAGTTGAAAGTGCCAGGTTATGGAGGGATGAGCCAGGGAACTTCTTCCAAAGGCCACATACTCTTCTTGCCTTCAACTAATGAACACTGCAGGCATCTGCAGTGACCATATTAAAATACAGACAGACGGACAGAAAAAAGACAGACTGAAAAAAAGAGCACATATGCCTTGTGAAAATGCTATACATTTTTAAAGTAATCATCATGTAACTTGTAGTGTCTCTTTTGGAGGATGTTATTTATTGTAAGACATCATTTTTATTAAATACACTGTAGTACAAGAGACTCTCCATGTCAGGTTGAGAGAAGCTGGTCACATGATTTACAAACAAAACTTTTTTTTTTTTTTTTTAAACACTGATATTCTGGTGTCACTTTGAAATCAGCCAAGATGCAGTGGGTCTTAGTAAAGCAATGGACCTCAAAACAGATCGCAAAACAAGAACCAGTAAGTATTAGCACAGAGACGTCACATTAAAAGGAAAATAAAGCAAATAAAAAGAGGGTTCCAAATACCAGGTCACAATTTAAGGGGCAATATATCTTCAGAGAGATATTGAAATGTGTGTGTGTGTATATGGCCTGGATATATACAAACATCTCTCCATGTACAGAAGCAGATGCAGAGAGTGTCCACATCTCTCGGCAGATTTGTAAGTGATAGGTAATGATCAATGAATGCAGGGAGCAATATTTCACAAGAATTTGGTCATTTGTCAAGGGATTACATATTTAAAATCCACATTTAATTCAAAGACCTTGTATTTAAAACATTTCCAGTTGTTTTATACATTATTAAAGCAATAGTAAGATATACAAGCTGCAAGATGTAGGCCTTTATACATTTCATTTCATTTTCTCTGATTTTTTTTTTTCCAGTCCAAACATGTGGCTATTAGCAGCTTTTATTATGCTTGCTCCATTATGTTGAACGTTCAGCCAACCTTCACTCAGGATCATTTTCGTTAATGCACAGACCAAAAGAAAAAAAAAGAAAACAAACACGGACCTGGCCTAGAATGCATAGACTTAAAAAAATGACATCCCCATGTGTTCTCGTTTCGTCTCCTGAGACGTATGTTAAGATGGCGAAGAGTTGCTTGGTTGCTGTTGTGAATTTCACAGTGTTTTGCCTGCGACACATACACACATATATATATATACTTTTTTGCTTTGCTTTGTGTTTGTGATGAATGGAGCCAAAATATATATATAAATAAATGAATAAATAAATAAATACATACATAAATAAAGGTAGAAGGAGAAGGTGGGCACAATGCAAAAACTAAGAATATTCAAGAACCTTTGACTTGAGCAGCAGTGATTCATTCCAGCCCCGACAATGAGAAAATACCCTTTCATGTGTTGTCGTATTTAACTACGAATCTCTCCTGCCCCGAATTTTTTAGAATAACATTTATCACAATCTGGGAGTCTCTGCATTCCACAGTTACGCACTGTGAAGGAAATGCTTTAACTTCCATTAGCCATCTGAGGATTGGGTCACCGGCCATTCCCCTCGTGAGATTTTCTGTGATGGGCGAAACCGAACTCAACATTGGAAATGAAAATCCTCAAATGGGAGGAAAAGAAAAAAAAGAGAGAGAGAGAGAGAGCAAGAGAATTGAGGGTGTGTGTGTACGGAGTCATTTATTTAATTAGACATACAATTTAATACTATTGGCATTATAGAAGATCCAATTGGCAAAAAGGGAAGGTTAAAAAGAAACATCTGTTCCTGACCAGGGGATCCTTTTGTCACGGCTCTTTGCAAAGGACAGCTTTTGTACTGTTGTTGCTTTGCATTCCCACTCAGACAGAGGAATTCCTAAGAGTCGCTCGCCTTGCGGTAGGGTCTTGGACTTCTCACCATTGGCCTGTGAGACACTGGGCTCCCGACATTCCGGTTCTCTTCTGGAATGCTTGGACTCTGAACAGAAGTGTAAAGGGTCACAGTGGGACAAGGTGAGCATAACGCAAATGTGCAAACCGATGACCAAAAAAAAAAAAAAAAATTTTCCTTTCCTGGACCTTTACGTAAGGAGATCTATTTCAGTCTGCATTCTCCTTTGCAAGGAGCCAGGGAAAGGACTTAGTATAGTGGGATGGCTTTGATTCAGTTGTTTTGGGAAGCACATTATCTTAAATATGTCTTCCACCCATGCAGTACTGCACAGAGTTGAAAAGTGCGATGTAGTCCTACCCACATGGAGAATGGAAGCACTAACCACAATGGGACATTAAAACGTTTTGGTTATTTAGCAGATTTTAAGCGAATGATTCATACTGCACCCTACTTATCATTATCTCTAGTGCTGTGTGCCTATACATTTATACATAAGCCACACAAACACCCTGTGTCTGTGTGTCTGTATATGTATAAATCAAGTATTTATAACACACATATAAATACATGAAAATACCACAGGTAGCGCGGATGTGAACACATATGTATAATATGGATTCTGATAGGATCTTTTATCGCATAGTTCAGAATGTTTTCTAAATGAGCCTGATTATGATGCTGGTTCAGTGTACAAGGACTGAGCTGAAGCTATGAGCATGATTATATATCACGACATTTCAGCTGCTTGTCATCTCACGTATTTCCTTTTCTTCTTCCAACCATGTCCCGCTTCGTGAGTTTACCAGCGTGCTTGCTTTCTTGGACCGTTTGTATCCTGGAGTCTCTAGTGGACAGAATCATGAACTTCAGAGTCAGAACAGTTAGATTCAATCCCACTGGTGCCAGAAGCGAGCCTGGAGATTTTTAGCATGCCACTCAACTTCTCCGAGCCTCGATTTCCTCACTTATAAAAAATGGGAATAATTGGCTAACAGATGTGAAAGGCGCCTGGAAAACTATGAAAACAATCAGTAAATGGAAACAATGGTCAGACTGAGTTTGGGCGAGAGAATTAGGTTCGTCCCTACTGCTGTTGGAGTTTTTCACAAATCGGGTAGCAGGCCACGTTCTGTGATCGTTACACTTCAGAACGAGGATGTTCCTTTTCTAAAAACCAAAAGAGCATGAGAAGAGGGGATGGTGGAAGAACTGCGATGACTATTTTAAGCTATTCTGTGGTTCGTTCAATCTGGTATTCTTTCAATGCGAGACGTCTCTGAAATCACATACTCTTGAGACAACAGAGAAAAAAAAAATAATAATGATCAGCAATATAAATGACTGTAAAACTTTGCACTTGCATAGAACCTTTAATTTCAAGACCTTGAGGGACTTGTCAGAAGGTAAGGAGATTTTTTTTGTTTTGTTTTGTTTTTGTTTTTTGCTTTTTTCCTTCAGAGGAAAACACATTGGAATGGAATAGAATGCTCCCATCTTCTCATTTGCCTTAAACAAATCCTTGCTTTAAAACTGTGCAGCCCTTCTTGAATTTGATCCCTTAGCGTAGTTATCTCCTTTGCTCTCTGTTAAAATAAAACAAGTAAC